ATACAACTATGTACTGAAGGGATTTGGGGACAAAAAGCAGGGGAAACAAAAAAGATGGGCAACAGTTGTTAGCTCAGGTGCCAATCTTTAAAAGAAAAAAACAACCTCTTAGAAAAAATGCGGGAGAAAAATCCTCATGATCTGGAGCTAGCCAAAGAGTTCCCAGACGTGACGGTAAAAGCAGGATTCACTCAAGGAAAAGTGGGTAAGGCAGACTCACCAATGTTAAAAGCTTTGGGTCTGCAAAAGACCCGTTTAGAAGACAAAAAGACAAGCTGCAGACTGAGATAAAATACTTGCAAACCACAAATCTGAGAGGACTTGTATCTAGAACATATCAAGAACTCTCAAAACACAACAAAAAACATGCAATTAAAAAGTAGACAAAAGGGGCTGGCCCCGTGGCCGAGTGGTTAAGTTTGCGCGCTCCGCTGCAGGCGGCCCAGGGTTTCATTGGTTTGAATCCTGGGCGCAGACATGGCACTGCTCATCAAACCACGCTGAGGCAGCGTCCCACATGCCACAACCAGAAGGACCCACAACGAAGACTATACAACTATGTACTGGGGGGCTTTGGGGAGAAAAAGCAAAAAAAAATAAAATCTTAAAAAAAAAAAAGTAGACAAAAGACACATTCCACCCAAGAGGATGGAAATAAGCACACTATCAGCCTTTAGGGAAATGCAAGTTAAAGCCACACAGGCCGCCACTACACCCCTGTTAGAATGACCAAATAAAAACAAAATTCAGATCGCTGGTGAGGACGCAGAGCAGCCGGACCGCTGTGTTACAGACTCAGCCATGTGCCCTGACATCATGTGCTGAAGCCCTACCTGCAAAGTGACTGGGTCGGGAGGGAGGTAATCGAAGTTAAAGGAGGTCAGTGAAGGCCTGCTCCAACAGCAGTGGGGTCCTTAGAAGGAGAGGAAGAGACACCAGCGCTGCTTTCTCCACACCTCACAGAGACGGTGCACCTGCTGGCTGAGGGGAGGGGCCTCGCCAAAAACCTCCACTGCTGGCATCTTGAGCTTGGACTTTGAGCCTCCAGAACTCAGAAAATAAATTTCTGTTGTCTACGCCACCCAGTCTGTGGTATTTTGTTATGGCAGCTGAGCTGACTAAGACACCATCCAAGGCTGGTGGAACGTAAAATGCCACAGCCACTCTAGAAAACAGGTTGGCAGTTTTCTAAAAAATGAAATATGCAACTAGCATATGACCCAGCACCTGCACTCCTGGGCACTCATCCCAGAGAAACGAAGACTTATCTTCACCCAAAAACCCGCACACCAACGTGTACAGCAGCTTTACTTCTAGCAGCCAAAAACATCTGGAAACAACCCGAATGTCCTTCCGTGGGGGAATGGTTAAACAAACTATGGTATATCTACACCATGGGATGCTCTTCAGCACAAAAACGAAATTATGGACACAACCTGGGTGGATCTCCAGAGAATCATGCTGAGTGAAAAAAAAGCCAATTCCGAAAGGCTACACAATGTATGATTCCATTTATACAGCATTCTTCACATGACAAAATTAGAGAGATGGAAAACACATTAGTGCTTTCTAGGGGTTAACGAGGTAGGCAGGGTGATGAAAAGACATGAGGGATCCTTCTGGGGATGGAAACATCTGCATCTTGCTGTATCAATGTCACGATCCTGGTTGTGACACTGACTAGTTTTTCAAGTTGTTACCTTTAGGGAAACAGGCAAAGTGAATCTGGATCTCTCTGCATCATTTCTGACAACTGCATGTAAATCTACAACTATCTCAAAATCAAAAGTTTAAAGAAAAATAAGGACACCAATGTATAAGACACATCAAGGAACAACATGCCGGGCACTCCTAGGACACGCTGTTGACAGTCATCTTACTGCATACGCTCTGGAACTAGGAAACGGGCACAGACACGTCAACGGCCCAGGCCGAGCCCTCGCTCCCCAGGGCAGCCTGATGGGGACAGCAGTTCAGAAAGACAGTGACCCCACCTGTGACTGACTCCTCTTCATGCGTGAGTATTATATAAACACAGGATTTGTACCCAGTACAGTAAGAAACTCCTACAACTCCTGCCCAATAAAAAATGGAAAAAAGACTTGAACAGACATTTCACACACAAAAAAGACACATGACTGGCTAATAAGCAGGTGAAGAAGTGCTCCCAGCATCCTCAGGGAGATGCCAGTTCAACCACAAGGAGACAGCACTGCACACCCACAGGACAGATAGAGTCAAAACAACACACGACAACAAATGCTGGTGAGGGTGTGGAGGAACAGGAACTCTCGTGTTGTTGTTGGGAATGTAAACTGGCATGGCGGCGGTGGAAAGGGCTTGGCTGTTTCACATAAAGTTAAACTTAACGTCCAACTCAAGCCAGCAATTCCACTCCCAGGTATTTTTCCCGAAAGAAAGGAAAAAACGTGTCCACAGAAAAACTTGCAAAAAAAATGCTCTTGGTGACTTTACTCATAAGTAGCCCAAAATGGAAACCCAAATGTCCATCAGCAGGTAAGCAGATACGCAAACTGCAGCATTAAGGGAATCAACTTCTAAACACAAAGCTGGCCGGCAGAGAGCACAAACCATACAATGCCACGTGTGTGATGCTCTAAGAGAGGAAACTCAGGGCCAGCATTTGGCCGGCTGGGGAGGGAAGGGTAAGCAGAGTTGGGTTTAGGTTTGGGGACGTTCTCCATATTTATACAAGACAGCCTGAATTCCCACAGCCTATGTTCTGAGGTTGCGATCTTATGTGAAATACTTCCTACAGATTTCTTACTGTTTCAGTTCAGAAAGAGGCTTCAGGAGATTTGAGGCTGCGAGTCACCTATTAAGCTTAAAAGGAGGAAATCTACAGCTCATAATCACACTGGTGACAGGTCCTTTTGCACAACCACAGTGGCTGGTCACATTTCCTTGTTCTTCATTCTAGGCCTTAAGCGACCGGCATGAGCTTCCTTCTTTACATGACCCACCTGCCATGTGCAACTACCCCTCCTGGCTCCTGGCACTGCCCCTGCACCCGGCAGGGGTGCATTCTCACCCCTCGGAATGCTCCCCACTGCCCTTCCCACCCGAGGATCCCCCTGTACTGCTGATCCTTCGGTCATCGGAGCATGTGTCTTAAGCTCTGCAAGGCAGAAGCCACCGACTGTCCACTATGAATTTCTAATTGTCTGGTATTTTCAGAATAAATGAAGTCACCGGGGGAACTCTCATTCTAACAGATGTGAGAGAATACCACATTTCAGAATATCAGTAGAGGCACTGGCCCCCACCTCTGAAAGAGGAGCCTGGGGTTTTCTCACCAAATCATACCTCAAATCTGTTTGTTTTTGACCACTGTGGAGAAAAAGTGTGTTGATGATGCTGTGGCCAGATCCCCCCAGACCTTTGGGAACGAGGACATCAGAACAGTCAGCCCGCTTCCCACCCCAAATTGAGCAGAGATGGCAGGAGGGGTGGCTGCAGTGACAGGCTGAACCTGCAGCCCTGAGAGCAACCACAGATAGGTATAGTCTTTCACTGTGTGCACTCCTTCATCAGGTGTTAATGCGGGAATACAACTCTGTTTCAGCACTAGCCCCAAAACCAACTGTTTAGCTGGTAAGCACGACAGCTAGAAAAACCCTGACATACTCCTGCGGGCACTACTGGACAAAATGTAAGGAAAACACAGAGGAGAGAATGGGACTGCATCGAGGCTGGTGATAAATTTCGTGTCAGGAAGGGACAGGACGTTCAGGAAGCTAGAAGTAGCATGCGGAAACAAAGGTGCCTAAAGATCGATCCGGAAATTCCTCCGTGACCGACCAGTCCAACCTGCAAGGCTCTGTACAGGTCCCAACTGTTGGCTCGGCTTGACGTAATCACACGGACTCACAAACTACAGGGGAACGCTCGGGCGGTAAGAGGAGGACGCGGGGTTAGGAAACACAGCTCTGCCTACCCCAACACCCCAGGAGGGGAGACCGCAAGCACCCTCAACAAGGTGCGCATCAGCCACGCTCAAGCTCCCGAGAACGGAGAAGAGACAGCGCGACACCCAGAGGCCCCGCCCAGGCCCACCGCCTCACATCGGTCCCGGCTGTGAAAGGTAGGGCCACGGCTTACACCCACCCGCCGCACTGGGCGCCCCCAGACTCCAGCCTTCTGGTCCCCCAGCCTCCGCCCCCACCGTGGCCCGGAACCCAGCCGCCCACCTGCCCACCACCTCCTTCCCAGGGCTACACTCCTCCCCGACCGCAGGTCAGTCCCACACCTGCTGCTAAGACGGCCTCGCCCCAGCCTGACGCCACGCCTCTGACAAGGAAGTGCCCAACCCTGGACCCGCCTGACCCTCCCCCCGGCCCATGACCCTCCCCCTGGGCCGTGACCCTCCCCCGGCGGTGACCCCTCACCCCCGGCCCCGCTGACCCCTGCCCCGGCCTCACCCTCGGCCAGGACCCGCCGCACCCGCAGCCGCAGCTCCCCCAGCTCCACCGTCTGCCCCACGAAGTCAGTCTGGTCGCGGCCGGCAGCGCCGCCCAGGGAGCCCGGGCCCGCCAGGAAGTCCAGCGCAGACTGCAGCAGCGACATGGCGGCGGCCCCCAGCGGGCGCGGCGCGGCAGCTCGGGTCTGGCCGCGTCCGCTCCGCTCGGCAACCGCCGACTCCAGACAGCACCGCTTCCGCCTTGCCGGCGTGACGCAGGCGCGCGGGGCTCGTCGCGGCCGGAAGGACGCCGGCGCTTCAGTTCCGCCGCGCCGGCAATGCGCGTGCGCAGTGCCCTGGTGGGGGTCGCGCGTGCGCGGTGCCGCCCATCCCCTCGAGCTTCTGTCAGTCGAGGCCCCGGCGCCGGGGACCGGGCGAGGACGTGCGGAGCAGCGGCGGCGGCCCCCGCGCAGGTATTCTCGGTCCCGGCCGCTCGGACCGTCCCCCGGGAGGCCGCCCCTGCGGGGGCTGGTTCTCGGGCGCCCGGTGTAAGTGAGCGCCGCCGCCCCGGCGGAGCCCGTCCCCTGGCTGGGGGCTGCGGGCGGCCGCCGAGTGTCCGGTTCCGCCTTGTAGCGGCCGAAATTCCCTGCGACGTTGGGTGGATACGTTCGCCAGCGCCGCGGACGCCCTAGTGTGGTTGGTGTGGTGGAGTCCGCCTGGTGGCTTGGCTTTTCCTTAATGACTTGTTGCCGCTAAGAGACTGAAAAACGTAAAATGTACAAAAGTCAGTTTTCCAGCTTCTGTAGAAAAATCAGATCTGGCAGCGTTGGGGCCAGATCCCGTGTGTCACCAGGCTCCGACCCTCCGGCCCCTTCCTGTTGCCCGGCGGGCTCTGCCGGCGTTCGAGGTTGCAGCCCCTTCTGGGGAGCGTTGGTTCCCAAACCGAAAAGTGGATGTGGAAGCCCCAGTCGGCATCCTGCCCCTCCTGGAACGTCAGGCGTTTAGAATCCCTGTCCAGGCAGGCTGACGTGTTGTTGCTCTTACAGTATCAGTGGCGTTGTTTGTACCGTGCTGTATTGTTTACAGCATCCTTTTACTTACTTTTTAGACATAGGATTCATTTATTTATTTGCTTATTTATTTTCAATGAGCTTCCTCTGAGCTTTGGTGAGCGTCGCCCTGAGCTAACATCTGTGCCAGTCTTCCTCTGTTTTGTATGTGGGTTGCCACCAGAGCATGGCCACCCTGTAGGTCCATGCCCGGGAACCCAACCCCAGCCGCCAAAATGGAGCTTGCTGAATTTAAGCACTAGGCCATGGGCTGCCCCTACAGCATCCTTTTAGATAGTGATTCCTTTAATGACCCCAGAGTATCTTGAAGAAGAAGGCACAATACAGTTAATCCCCTTTTTTTTTATGAGAAGCCATGGTCAACAATGTCATTATTTGGCCAACGTCAATAAATGATACAGCTAGAATTCCACACAAGTCACGTGGCTTTTCCAACCAGTGCATTTGTCTCGTAAATGGAGTATAAGGATTGGGAGCTCAAGAAAGAGTCCAGGCTAGAGACAGATATTTGGATGTCTCAGCATACAGATGGCGGTTGACTCTCTGAGGGCTGAAGAGCACCAATGAGGACAGTGTAGTTAGGAAGAGGTTAGAGCCTTCAGAGAGGAGACCAGCATATGGAGAAGGAGCAGCCAGGAGGCAGGGAGAAAACCAAGGCAGCATTATGTTAGGGAGCCACAGAAAGAGGTTGTTTCCAGGGGGGAAAAGGTAATTAAAAGTGTCAAATGCCACTTAAAAGTCAAGTAGGAAAAGGACTAAAAGATGTGTGTTGGATTTGGCAACAACGAGATTGCTGGTGGCCTTGCCCAGAATGGTTTCATTGACGTGGTGGGGTAGAAGCTATACATTATCATAAGTGGAGAAATAAAGACATGAAGAGGTGGCGATGGGTCAGTGGAGGCAACTCAGGAAGTTTGGCTGTGGAGAAGGAAGTGTGGGAACTAGAGTGATGATGTGTGTTGAGATGTTTTACTTTGGGAGATTTTTGAGCAGCCTAAAGCTGATGGAAGGGAGCCAGTGGAGAGAGAAGATTTGCTGGTACAGAAGGGAAAGCAGTGAAGTGCGGTCCCCTAGAAGATAGGAGGGGAATGACGTCTAGAGCACAGGGCAAGTATTCGCTTTGGACACAGGAAAAGCACTTTTCATTGTAGCGCGAGGGAAGGAAGGACAATAGGTTGCAGGTACACGTGCTTTATGTGTCGACAGGAATGAAAGTGAAGGGATTCTCGGATGGCTTCTACTTTCACTGTGAATAAGGAGAAGAAAACACCTGCTGGAGATGAGAAGAGAGGTAAGAAAGCTAAGGTTTAAGCAGTGTGGGAAGGATCTAAAGTAGCTGTTGTGGAGAACCTGGTGGACAAGTCTCTAGAAAGCATGCTGGCCTTTGAGGGCTCATTCGAGATTGGAGGCCATGAATTTATACTGGCATGACCTAGGGTCAGGTGGAGATTTCTAAATAGTGTAATTCCTTTGACACGAGAGTCTACTCAGACTTCTTATCTCAGAGCTATTTATGGAGCACCTTTGTCCCCGAGCGCTGTGCTGGGTGCTCTGGTAACACTGCCTGAACCCCAACCTGTGTCTCCAGACCACACTTCACTCCAGAACTCTTAGACGTCTGTCTTTTGGTGTCTCACCCCATGTACTACACAAGTCTAAAGCTGAGTGTGTGGTCTTCATCCCCAAACCTGTTCCTCTGTAGTAGATTTCATAGCAAAGTCTTACCAGAAATTTTTAAGAGGATCATGGTGGGGTAGGTGCATCAGAAAGATGTAGCAATCCTAAGCAGTTCTGCACCTAATAATAAAGCTTTAAAATGCGTCAGGCCAAACCGAGTAGAACTGCAAGGAGAGATAGAGAAACCCACAATTGTAGTGGAGATGTCAATACTCCTTTCTCAACAGATGACAAAACAAGTACCCAGAAGATCGCCAGGGTATGATAGAGTTGAGTGACACCATCAGCCAACTTGACCTAATGGACATTTACAGAACACTACACAATTACAGGAGAATACACATTTTCAAGTATATAAGGAACATTTATCAAGATGGATCATATTTTGGGCTATGAAACAAATGTGTTGTCTGACCACAATGATATTAAGTTAGAAATCAATAACAGTTATCTGGAAAATCATCCAAATATTTGGAAACTGAATGACTCACTTTTCAATTACCCATATGTCAAAACGGAAATTAGGATTTTGAACTGAATGAAAATGAAAATGCAGCGTTTCAAAATCTGTGGAGTGTGGCTAAAGCACTACTAGAGGAGAGGTCTCAAATGAATAACTTAAGCATTCGTCTTGAGAAATTAGAAAAATAAGAGCAAATGAAATCCAAATAAGTACAAGAAGGGAAGTAATAAATACCAGAGTGGAAATCAATGGAATAGGAAACAAAACAATAGAGAAAATCAGTGAAACCAGAAGCTGATTCTTTGCTATAAAATAGAGAAATCTCTGTCCACATTGAACAAGAAATAAACAGAAGGCAAATTAACAGTATCATGAATGAGAGTGATGACATCATTGCTAAAAGGATAATCAAAACAGGAACAACTTTATGCCCATAAATTCAGCTGCTTAGACCAAAGGAATGAATTCCCTGAAAGACACTACAAAGCTCCCTTGAGAAGAAGTAGTAACCTGATTAGCTGTGTATCTGTCAAAGCATTGAAATTGTAGTTGAAAACTTTCCCTCAAAGAAAATTTCATACCTTGATGACTTCACTGGGAACTCCACCGAACATTTAAGGAAAAATAATACCAATTCTACACAGAATCTTAAAGAAAATTGAAGGAAGGAAATATGTCCCGGCTCATTCTATAAAGACAACGTTATTCTGATACCAAAATTTGACAAAGACATTACGAGAAAAGAAAACTACAAACTAGTATCCCTGACGGTCATAGATGCAGAAATTCTTTTAAAACGTTTTTTAGCAAATTGAACCCAACACAGTATAAAAAGAGTAGTACAGCATGGCCAAGTGAGGTTTATCCCAGGAAAGCAAACTTGGCTTCGCATTTGAACACTGATCGGTGTAATTTACACTATTAACAGTCAAAAAGAAAACCAAATGGACCGTCTCAGTCCATATAGAGAAAGCACTTGACAAAATCAAATATCCATTCCTGATTTAAAAAAAAAAAAACTGTCAGCAAACTGAAGATAAAATGAAACTTCCTCAGCATAATAAGGGCGTCTACGAAAAACCCATAGCTGGCATATGGAATAATGAAAGACTAAATGCTTTTCCCCTAAGATCAGGAACAAGCCAAAGTTGTCCAGTCTCTGTTGTCTGACCACTTCTATTCAGCGTTGTACTAGAAATTCTAACCAGTGTGATGAGGCAAGAAAAAGAAATGGGAAGTTTCCAGATTGAAAAGGAAGAAGTAAAATTGCTTATTTGAAGATGGCATGGTCGTCTACAGCCGAGACCCCCAGCCTTGGCACTGTTGACACTTTGGGCCAGATAGTTCCTAGTTGGGGTGGGGTGGTGCTGTCCAGTGCGCTGTGACGTGTCTCGCAGCACCCCTCTCCTGCCCCTAGACACCAGTAACACACACCAATGTCACAAGCAAAATATCTCCAGACGTTGCCAGCATCCCCAAGGGACAGACTGCCCTCGGCTGGGAACCATGCTCCATGTAAAAAGTGAAATGGAATCTGCAAAAAGAGCTACGGGAACTAGTAAGTTAGTTTAGCGAGGTTGCAGGATAAAAGACTAATATGCAAAAAGTAAATTATATTATTTCTACATAACTGGCAACAAATATTGGAAGTTGAAATTAGAAAAAAAACAATGGCATCAAAATATATTAAATACTTGGGATAAATCTGAAAAAAGATATGCAAGATTTATGCACTGAAAACTAAAAAACTTTGCTGAGAGAAATTAAAGACCTTAATAAGTGGAGACATGCCATATTCATAAATTGGGAGATTAAGAATCATTAAGACATCAATTCTCAAATTGATCTATAGATTCAATGCAATTCCAGTCAAAATCCCAGCAGACTTTTATAAAAATTGATGAATGGATTCTAAAATTCATTTGGAACTGTAAAGGATCTAGAATAGCCAAAACAAGCTTAAAGAAGGACAAATTTGAATGGCTTATCTTGCCTAACTTCAGTACTTACAATGAAGCCACAGTAATCAGAATACTGTGGTGGTAGTATAAAGATAGAAAAGTAGAGTAATGGAGTGAATAGAGAGTCCATATTGGCCCATGAGTATATATACAGCCAATTGATTTTTGACAAAGGAATAAAGGTAATTGGAGAAAAGATAGTCTTCAAGAAATGATGCTGGAAAAATTGGATATCCATATGTTAAAAAAGAATGTTAATCTATACCTTGCATCATATACAAAAATTAGCTCAAAATAGATGGTAAATATAGTGTGAAACCTAAAAGCATTAAAGTTCTAGAAAACAATCTATGAGATTTTTTTTGGTATGACACCAAAGCACAATCCATAAAAGGAATAGATAAACTGCACTTCATCAAAATTAAGAACTTCAAAGCCTGCCCTGATGGCCTCTTGATTGGAGTTCGGTGCTGTCACTGCTTCGGTGGACCTGGTTCAGTTTCCTGGCGTGGAACCACATCACTCATCTATCAGTAGCCATGCTGTGACAGTGGCTCACATAGAAGAACTAGAAGGACCTACAACTAGAATATACAACTATGTACTGGGGCTTTGGGGAAGGAGAAAAAGCTAAGAACTTCAAAATACATTGTTGAAGATATCCTTCAAGGTGAATGAGTAAACTGTGGTACATCTGTAAATTGGAATATTATTCAATGATAAAAAGAAATGAGCTTTCAAGCCACAGACAGGCATGGAGCAACCTTAAATGCATGTTGCTAAGTGAAGGAGGCCAGTCTGAAAAAGCTACATACTGTGTGATCCCAACTACATGACATTCTGGAAAAGGCAAAACTGTGAAGACAGTAAGATCAGTGGTTGCCAGGTGTTGTGGGGAAGATAGAGGGATGAATAGAGCACAGGGGGTTTTTAGGGTGGTGAAGCTATTTTGTATGATACTGTGGTGGTGAATATAAGTCATCATACATCAAGACAACAAGATTGTACATACATTATTGTACATACATCGTACAACAAACAACAGGACAGAGAGTGAACCCTAATGTAAACTGTGGACTTAATTTAATGTGTCAGTATTGGCTCATCAGTAGTGCCAACTGTGCCACACTAATGTAAGATGTTAATAACGGGAAATGATGGGGAGTGGTGAAATGATATATGGGAACTCTATACTTTCTGTTCAGATTTTCTACAAACCTAAACCTGCCCAAAAAGTCTGTTAATTTACAGTACATATATACTGTTGAGAGGATGAAATTTTCACCCAGATGGGGAGAAAAATATTTGCAAATCACATATCTGATGATGGACTTGTATCCGAATATATAGACATATGTAAACAAAATACATATTACGTATTTTATATATATTGTGTATATATAGTATATATGTATTACATATTGTATATTATTATTTATATATACATACATATATATAATATCTTCACAATAATTTCCAGACTCCTGAACGGGCATCCAAGGCTCTTTGTGATTTAGTCCTAGCTTACTTCGGGTGTCCCTCCCATTTCGAGCCCTGTGCTCTAGCTGTATCAAACTCCTTGCATTTTCTGCACACTGAGTTCAACCACAGTCGGTGACACACACACACAGTCAGTTCCTTTTTGTCTTTCAATAATCCTCATAGCACTGTTTGAGAATTAAAAGAGATAGTATATATAAAGTACTTGGAATAGTGCTTGGTACTTAGTAAATGCTTGATAAATGTCAGTTATTGTTCTTGTTGTCATCATCTTGTAATGAGTATTTCCACACTCAGCTCTGGCATCTCCCATTCTGAGAGCTTTCTCAACTCAGTCTCTCCAGGATCCTCGGTGTCCCTCAGCCTCGTGATGTGTCTCTCAGAGTGTTTCCTGCCCTGTGGGGTGACTTCCTCTAATGCTCAGCAAGATGCATAATGCCCTCCGGGGTCTCAAGCCTGCAGGTGTCTCCCGTTACATGAATTTTCGGCTTCTCCTCATTCCCATCAGGATTTTAAGTCTTCAGTCTCTTCCATCTTTAAAAGAAAAATCATCCCTCGACTCCACGTTCCTCTGCTTTCAGTCCTTCGTTACCATGGGTCTTAAGTTAAAACTCATATATGATGAAGGTAACATGTAGCTGACATGTTTTGAACACTTACTTGCTAGGCACTAGGGGTTTTTTTCTACCA